CGCAAACCACAAAAAAAGACCAGCCACCTCTCTCGTCGCTACGCGTTCCTCGTCTGCCGGGGCCGCCGCGCATCAAGCGAACTCTCGTGCACTCGCGCTCCAATTTGAAAGTGGTTATAACTGTTTTATGAGGTTTGTTATGTATTATACATATATATATATTTTTTTTTAAAGTCAAAACTATGGCCACTGCAGCCCTAGACCCTTTTGCGGCTTACCAAACTGCCAAAAACGCGGATCCATTCTACAATGAATTAATAATAAGTCCTCCGCTCAATGGGGATGTAGCTCAAGACAGAGGCATGCAGAATTTTTTATCAAAGGACCAACGCAGAAACTACCGGCAGAATTACTAAATCTGGACATGCTAGGACATAAATAATAGTTGGACTGCTATCTGGACAGACTCCGGAGGTACATGTATAGATTCGGAATGGCAGAACAAGCCTGTGTAGACATTGCCAAGAAGAAGAAGAAACACCGGAACCCGCCCTCTGTTGGCGCGGAGGCCTATGTAGGCTGATATACCTAATCCTGGGAGAAAAAAGCCACGGCTTGAAGGATACACACAAGAGCCCTTGAAGAACCTTTGCGGTCTGGTAAAAAGCCTTAAGCTTAACGAAGAGCTCTAGATAAAAAATGGAGATGAACAATGCAACAATACTGGTAGTGTACAGGTCGTAAAGAGGTCGGCTCCTACATAACCTCATCTAATCTAGACATTACAATAGATAAAAAATTAAATTGAAAAGCACATATAAAAAATAAAAGTAAATAACTGGATTTCAATACCGTCAACTTAATTGGTTGCTGGGAAGAAACTCCCGGCTATCAATACAAAATAAAATAACAATACAATCAGATATTAAAACCGATATGGATGTATGGTATACAACTTTAAGGGTGTGCCAAAAGAAGCAATACTATCATGATACAACGATTCCAAAGTAAAATTCTACGAAATAGGTAGATGGTCCTTGGTTCGCAATAGCGTGTTGAACAAACTGCACCACGACACTGAGATTAAACGGTATGCTTAATAAGCACTTGATATATAGTCAGCATATGTAAGACAGAAGAGGACAAAGCCGGTTGAGTTAGTTCTAGAAAAAGATACGAGGTTAACTCAACTTGGTATATTGTGACACTAATAGGTGATCTAAAGTGTATTTATTGGTGGCAAAAATGAACAGACGTCTCATTTTATCAGTTTTAATAAAATGTATTAAATAAATCGTAAAAGCAAGTGAACAAAGTTTTCCTTTACTTTTCATAATAAATAAACCACCAGGCTCGCCCCAGCCAGCACGAGAATGTGGAAGCGACCAAACTCTTACATAACCGAAACACGGTCAGAAGATTAAAAAGAACAAAGCCATATGAACTTGTGAATAGTGAAATGTAAATCTTATTGTACCAATGGGTTTATAAGAATGTAAACATTTATTTATTCTATAATATTATTGTAAAATTAATGGTTGGTCTAATAAGACCAGTTTTAATAAATAAATTTAATAAAAAAAAAATAAATAAATAATGAAAGAAAGGGCTTGAATATGCTAAACCATCAAGACTAAAAGAAGTTGCGGGTTTAGTTTCTCACGACGCCGTATTTTTGTCTACATTACAATAATTACATTCGTCATCTTCGCAAGGCAAAAATTAGATATTTTTATTAGGAAATTATGACAATAAAATTATCGTTCTTCTTAGAAGTAGTTTAAATTAAACTTTTATCAACGAGAAACATATAAATCAAATTTAATTTTAATTAATCAATTAAATTGTTTTTGATTAAGGTTCTATTACTTTCGCGAAGGTATATTAAAACATAATAAATGTAGTTCAATATATCAATTAAATATCAATATCGGAGGTCCGAAGTCGTCGAATGTAATGTACAATATTAAAGTGCCTTTAATCTCTTCTGTAGGAATAGAAATGAGGAAGTATCAATATCTGAGAGATCGAAAATAACACAAAGAGAATCGCACGTCACGATTCAGGCCAACCAGAAAAACTAAATTTAATCAATGAGGAAAAATAATCAACCCACTGCTATTTTGTGTACAAAACAATCCTCTATATGTATGTCGCATTTTTAAAACTTGTTGTTCTTTAATTTTCAGTTTTTAATTACTGAAAGGGCTTTGGAACAATAACGAACCGTTAATCTCTTGCATTATAGTTATAAATACTATTCGAGGATTATGTAAGCGCTTAATGTAATAAAATACATGTTTATTTTTTTAAAATGAAAAGGATTTGCAAAGACTCTGTAGGCGAATGGTCATCGTGATAAAATCTCGGCTCTAGACCAGCGGTCGTGGGTTCGATTCTCAACGTAGCCCCTCGGCCTTTTTGTCACGTAAACCCCCTCCCAACGAAAAAATAATACACAAATCATATGATCAATCACGTTTCTTGGCTAATATGCAGGCCATTAAAAAATGGATTTGCATTGTTGTGAAAATAATAGCATTCAAAAGGGGCGTCGGTGGCCGCAACGGTTAAGGCGTTGACACGGATCTCATCACTGTAAGGTAAAGGTTCCGGGTTCGAATCCAGCGGCCCTGCATTCGAACCCTACGTACAAACGGGCTTTTTTTCAAAAACACCGGCACCTCGAGGGTTTATATGACCTCTGCTGTTGCGAACGCTCGTAAAAGAAAGAGAAAAAAATAGCAATCAAAAAAATATATTTTTAATAGATTAATTTTTTCTCGATAAATTACATCTATTTGTTACTCAATAGAATAAGTTTATACATGATTTATGTAATAAAATTGAATTAAATAAATTTATTTATTTTTATTATACTTAGGCAGAAACAGAATTAGAGGCAATTAATGATATAGTACCAACCCAAAGGATTTTTTTAGAGTTGAATGTATACAATGTTTTTTATTATGAATTTTTCAACATTTAATAGTTCTTTTTTCATCAATTATACATTAAGAAAAATATATTTCAGGAAGCAACGGCCATTTTATGACTGAAAAATTCACTTTTTTAAATAAGGATCTTTAAACGCCAACTTTTTTTCTTTTTCAAAAGTTTGGTCCCATGAGAATCTAATAAAATTTAGAAGAGTTTCAATTTTGTTAAAGCTCGGAATCTAATTTTCTAATGTAACCTGCCATGATGAACTTAATCATTCAGAAATATGCTGTAGACCACTTTATCCAATCGCTATTATTAACGCAGTTTTAAGACTCTCCTCTTTTATATATATTCTGGGTGAAAATTACTTTTCAAACTAAAATATCGGGTATTTTTTTGAATAAGAAATCCGTCATCCTTTCATTATTCAATCCTACCGTCAATCAGACAATATATCTTCGTTAAATTACTAAATAAATAAGAAATTAGAGTTGTTAAGTTATTAGTAGTTGTTTGAAATATGTAGATGGACTCATGGACTAAGGCAAGATTTTCCTTCGCAATACAGATCCAAAGACCGTGGGTTCTTTGGAAGACTTGACAATTTTTCATCTGAGTTTTTAATATCAAGTTGTAGTAATAAATAAGGAACTGTTTCAACCTTCCTCGGTTTACTACTGCTGTAAGAGAAAAGACTATAAACTTCATAGTGCCTGAAAGTTGGTAGATGGATTAGCCCCGAATTTCATAGGCAGTAATAAAATAAAAAAGGTTAAAACAGTTTATTTATTACAACAGCCCCAAAATTCGGAAACCATTAACAAAGAGATAAGAAGAAGTAGGAATTTATCAATTTTTTAATTTTTCGTAATATACCGTCTGCATTAACCCGAATAAGAAAAATAACACATAAATCAAACATCGTCTATCAACTTCCAACTGTAAGATGAATCACTGTCTAATCACTGTACGCCGAAGATTGGGCAAAAATGGGAAAAACACAGCTTGATCACAAAATCGCTTCTTTTGAAAAAAGTATTTTTTCACATTTCGATCTAGTTTTCTCCAAAACAATTCATTTACTGAAACGATTAGATTTTAGTTATGTAGAACCATTGTATCAAGGAATTGTTGTAAAACATTGTAGAGAGGAAATATAAATATATATATATATATAAAGATGTAAAGCTAGGACACAACTAATTAAGGTTTTTAGTTGAGATAAAAAAGTTAGTGTCACGAGCGGGATTCGAACCCACGACCTTCGGCTTGATACACCGCTACTCTACCACTTGAGCTATCGTGACTTCGATCCACTCGGGGTGATAGCTCAAGTGGTAGAGTAGCGGCGTATCAAGCCGAAGGTCGTGGGTTCGAATCCCGCTCGTGACACTGGCTTTTTTATCTCAACTAAAAACCTTAATTAATTGGATGAGAATAATTGGTCAAGCGGACCACGAAAACTTGTGAATTTAACTAGGACACAACTTTACGTTGTTGCCTCAAATTAACTAATCACTATTTTTTCAATTTTTCAGACCTCTAGCTACAATATCGTAGAATACAAAGGAAAATTAAACATAAAAAGTTGGTTGCATTAGACTACAGATTTTTAGAAAATACTATCGCAAATAGGTACATTTGGATCTAACTTTCAACAAAAAATTTATTGAAAATTGTTTAAAAAAGGTATAATTTTAGATTTTGATGGAACCATAAAATAAAGGCTCTTTAAAAAAAATGCATATAGAAATTAAAATTCATCATTTTATTACAATTGTTTGATGGATAAACCAATACTTCGTGCCGTATGGTCTCGTCGAGAAGTTCAGTGATGACCAGTAAAGTCATCCCGTCAAAATGTTGCCCAAAAGAACTAAAATTATTATACCATCCCTAGTGCTTTGTACAGAAATCAATTTCCAATTTCAACAAGGTTTTCACCTCTGGGAGGAAGGTTGTAATCGTCAAAATATCCCGAGTGAATGGTTAATGGCACTAGTGTTAAAAATGTATCCCAGAGGAAAGGATTTTGAAACGGAACGACATGCGCGTTAGACTTGAAGCCCCCTCCATTTCATACTTGTGAAGTTTTGAGAGGTCAGTTCGAAGCCGAGTATCGTGTGGCACCGAGTGAACCGCTTTCCACGACTTATAAACAATTACATTTTAATTATATAAACAACAGGATCTAAGAGTATTTCAGACGGCAGCTTGGGGCTTGCCATGGCGCAGGTCAGTACATTTCATAATAACCTTGTAATTTAAGCTTTTTAGTCATCATACATGTTAAATTAGAATTTTTTTGCTGAATTGACCCGGTGTTCTTTTTTTCACATCAGTTTAAACTTGCGTTCGTTTATACTGGTCATTTTTTACCGAGTGGTTCAACATCGCTCACAAGGTCAAAAGTTCATCCCAAATAAGGATAATTTAGATCAACCGGCGCTCTCCAGTATCCTTCTCGATCGTTTGTCTGAATGTCAAAATATTTCTTTCATCACCAAAGCAAACACTAAGTAAAACAAATCATTTCTAAAGCTATAAATTTTGGTTCTATTTGACTTGAATTTGAGTGGTTTTCCTTGGAAATTAATTATAAAAATAAAAATTTAATTTAAACCTAAATCTCTACAGGTTAAAAAAGCTATTAAATTATGATTGAAAAAAATTAATATTTATTGTAACATCCTTATTTAAACATGGAAATTGTATTTCATTTGTTATGGATTTGTAATATCCAAAATAAACGAATATTGCACATATGCGTTTTATACAATATTTTAATCGTAATAAAAGAAAATTAACGTCAAAATAATTTTTTAATTCATCACACACCTTTTGATATGCCTCAAACGCGGCTTTGCGCCATCTTCAGTGAGGAGCTATCTCGTTATCTGTGAAGGTTTTTATCTTATTCTAAGTAATTTATGTCTTAACTAGCATCAACCAAATGTACTGTACACATTTATAAATTAATTACATAATGTTTTCAGTACTTACTTATGAAGTCATCCGCTTGGTCTACAGTGTGAGTTTACGGTCAATCTGTTTGCCACGGCTTTAGATATGAATTGTTGACTGTGCACGCCAGAGGATATCGTATCGCGTGGACATGTAGTTTTACGAGGCTTTGTGGTGCTTACTTTACGGGATAACGATTATCGCGATAACGTGGATGTTCATTTCACAGTGCAGTGGAGTACATTCTGCGCTTTATAAAGCCATTTCTAACCTTTCAATATAGGTTGTTTCTTTAAATTCACCGATTTTTTAGTCGGTTTTACTATTTATCTCTAGACTAGAATTTAGAGAAAATTTCCAAATTAATTTTTTTATAACAGTTTTAATTGTCATTTTGTCAATATCTAGACGCGGAAACCTTTTTCCGCTTACTTTTGGTAAATTTATGCTCTAAATATAAATAAAAATTACATGAATTGATCGAAAAGGCTATTTCTTGAAAGACCGACATGATATTATATGATATTAAAAATCATATAAACAAATATTATATGAACATAATAAACACAAATGCATATACGACATATCCATGCGGCATTCGATATGAATCTCTGGCATTTTAGATATGCTTAAAACTCAAACACACTGAATAAGGCATCGTACAACAATCCAACATAAACATCTGCTGCATAATAATAATCGTAGTTTATTATTTAACATATTTGTTCAACAAACAACCATATTCGTTGTTGCGTCTGTAGTGGCAATTTAAAAAAAATATTATTTTCGAATATCTTAATTCGGATAGCAGAGCCTGGTTCACTTTGAAGAAAAGAGCTTAATTATTTTACGAATCTACATAACAATGCAGGCTTGTTCGAGGCTTATGAACGTAAATTGAAATACTTTGAAAGTAGATCCTACAACTTTATTGTTTTCCTTCATGTTGAACAAAAGTAGAAAAGAAAGAGAAATTATAGAAATCTGTAAGGCAAAAAATACCCGACCTTAATTTTACTTATACAATTTTAATAAAGGTATTTATATTGCATTGATATAAAAACTTATTCCGACGTACACTTGCTAAATAGGTCCTATAAATATCCTGCCAAATTGAAATATATCGAATAATTTTTTGTACAATTTACCTGTTCTACTATTCAAAACTCGATTGATTTAAAATAAAATTATACGCAATTTTATTACCCATGAAAACATGTAAATTTAAGCTACTACTTCTTATGCCAATGATCAAAACTTTTTGATTAGTAAGTACAGTTTTATAACCGACAAAAGTTACGTTATAGCTGAAAAATCTATTGTGAGAAAAAGCCCGGAAAAAAATGAAAATACGGTTCAACACATTGGACTAGTTTTTGGAATGATGGAATAAAAGTTCGTTCCGGACTTATTTAAAATAGTGCAATACATATTGTAAACGTCGCGAAATGAAATATCATCCTAATCCGACTCGGAATTGGCCAGACCCGGTTGACCCATGAAAAGTTGTTTGGGCCAATGCGTGTATTATATGTATTCTTACTATTCGTCATTGTTTTCAATAATATATAATGCAATTTTGTTAAAAGATATATTCTTTCTTAACTGTTTCGTGAGAATGTATTTATAAGCGTGAATGTGTGGGTAGTACAACACCGTCCATAGTGGAATATCACATACTCGATTCCAGTAGACTAGTTGTTGTGATGGTAGTTGCTTATATGTGTAAAGATATTTGGAAGAATATCGAGTAATCAACCACCCAGCTGTTAATAATTAGAATAATAGACAATGTATTTAAGAATGAGATAGAGAGAAAAATCGTTGCATTGGTGGCTGAATTGATTGATACGAATAAAACCGAGGTCTGTCCATCAAAACACAAGAGTTTTCTGCGAGAGATATGGGTTCGGTTTCGCACATTATATGTGTGCATGCACATATATGCTCAGAATTGAGCCTAAATAAATCAGTAAAAAAAGTACAGTACTACTTAAGCGAACGATTTTTCAGGTTTGCTGATGTCTTTTTCTTTCCGACTTGGTACTTGGTACAAAGTAGCAAAAATTGGACACATATACATGTAAAAGAAACAAGAGCAAGAAAAGGCGAATAATAAAATAGTAATAATAAAAACAATTGTTAACAATATTTGAAAACAATATTTAAAAATTATCTTACTGTAATACAAAAATCTATAATAGCACGGAAAATTTAACGAGATGGGATTCAGTAAGCATTGAAATACCCAGGTACCGCACCCGGTAATCGAAAAGAATGGGAAATATTGCAAAAAATGAATATGTCCTTTTCGCGTTCAGAAAACAGGGAGATAACCATTTAATTTCTTTCTCCATCCACGGAGGTGTAGTTGATATAAAAAAAATCCCGTTTCTCAATTTAATCATCTAGATTCTCCAAGAGATCAACTATTGGACGATACAGTAGTTCAACCCTGATTGAATGTATGACAAAAGAACAGAAAAGAATTCAGCTAAGTAGCTGGGACTATTGCTGGACCAAGAAAAACAAATTGCTGTTATACAGGAGAGATTATTGTCGAAATTCAAGGTGAGTTTGGCATACGAAAATCACAATGGTGTCCAAACCACTTGACAATATTTTTTTCTAATCGGACGGCTTAATTATTACTTCACAATAAATCACCAATCCTTTTAAAAAGATAGTTTCTAATCACTGTAACTTGTTTTTAACGATCCGGATTTTGAGCCAACATCTGATCATCAGGTAGAAGGAGTTTTATAATCTGATGATGAGTTGTAGGCCCGAAATCCGGATCATTAAAAATAACTTACGGTGAGCAGAAACTATCTTTTTAAAAAGATTGAAAAAACACTCACTCCACCATTTAACTTTTCTATAAATCACCAAAGGAAATTTTTTATTAAGAACTCAATTCTACATACTAACCTTCACCACTTCTGAAATTAATAAAATAATGATATATCGAATGTAAGTGACGAATACTTGTAAACGGGTATTTACGGTAAACGAACATCATAAACTCCCAGCTATTTGAAGGTATGTAACTATATACATTTTTATGATAAACGAATTCTTTCACATCGCTACACAAATTTTTTTCTCGTTTTAAGTAACATAAATTAAAATATTGAGGATATAAGTACTAAATCCTAGAGCCCTATTGTTTTACTTCTAGTTTAACGAAAGGGGAAAAAAGTTAATATTACAGAATTTTTTAAGGTAACAGAGCATAAAAAATAGTAATTTGGAGATCGTGAAATGCCGTCTGATGTGACGTAGGTTTAGAAAAACATTTTCTTTACCATACCAACGTTTCGATCTTTATTGAGATCATCTTCATGGACCTACGATTTATAAACATTGTTTAAATTCAATTAATGAAGATTATAAGTTGAGATAAAAATGTCAGTGTCACAAGCGGGATTCGAACCCACGACCTTCGGCTTGATACGCCGCTGCTCTACCACTTGAGTTATCGTGACTTCGATCCCCTCGGGCACTAACTTCCCATCTCAACCCCACCTTTTGAATTTTCCCTTCTTTTTGCCATTTTTCAAAAATTCAAATGGTTGAGATGGGAATTTAGTGCCCGAGGGGATCGAAGTCATGATAACTCAAGTGGTAGAGTATCAGCGTATCAAGCCGAAGGTCGTCGGTTCGAATCCCGCTTGTGACACTACCTTTTTTATCTCAACTTAAAACCTTCATTAATTGAATATTATTGATTGGTCAAGCGGACCACGAAAAATAGTGAATTGTTTAAATTATAAAAATACATGTAGGATGTGAAAAAATGAATTTATACAATGCTAGAATTTTTAGACTCAATCAAAGTATTTGTTTTCTGGGTAGATGTGTCATTATTGAGTGTCGTGTTGAGAATTATTATTAACTCTATTAGGTTTCGTGGTCCGATTGACCAAATAAATTATTTTCAATTAATTAATTTGTAATTAAGGTTTTTGTTGAGATAAAAAGTGAGTGTCACGAGCGGGATTCGAAGAGCAGCGGCGTATTTAGATGGAGGGTTCGAATCCCGCTCGTTACACTGACTTTTTTATCTCAACAAAAACCTTAATTAAAAATTAATTATCATTAACGAACAATCACTAAATACCACGGATCAAAAATATTTATAATGACATAAATTCAATTTTATTTAACAATAAATGTGCGTTATGCTAAAAACTATGCATACCAATGAATCGTAAATATTCGTCCGCTGTTTACTTTTTTTGTTTTGTTTAAAGGTGTTTGTTTAAAGT